ATCTTGTTTCATCCTTTAATTCTTTGTATTCGAGTTTTGGGATGTATTGGGCAGGTTTGTTACAGGTTAGTAGTGAGTTTAAACGAATAGTTGCTGCCCAGAATTTTGTTTCTTCGCTCGAGCGAGACTTTTGTCGCTCGAGCGAGCTTTGTGTTTTATCTCCTTCGCTCGAGCCAGGGTTCCTTCGCTCGAGCGTGCGTCTGCATCTGGCTCTGGACCTGAGAGTTGCATTTCTTGGCTCGAGCGAGGACTATGTTTTGGGTTTCTTCGCTCGAGCGAGTTTTTCTTCGCTCGAGCGAGTTCGAGCGTGCTTTTGGGTTGCAGACCTGAAGCTTCAATTTGTTGGCTCGAGCGAGGTTTCTTTGTGTCTGGTTGCTCGAGCGACCATTCCTTCGCTCAAGCAAGCCTTGAATATATTAGTTGGCAGCAGCGGGATTACACTTTATTTCTTCACCATCTCTTTTACACAAACCCTAGATCCATCTGCTCCCTCTCTCTCTACATACCTTCTCTCTAAGATTCTATCTATTTCTAGAGTGTTTCTACCCTAATCTCTTTGTAAGAAAGATAGAGGGTGGTGTGGACTTCACTTTAATCTGAAAAATAGTGGATTTGGAGCACTTTGGGTTTTCTTCATCTACTCCTTTGAGCTTCTAACTTTGAGGTAGCAATAACCTACTCCATTCTATGAGTTTTAACATAAATTTTAGTCATTTTGATTAGATGGTGTTGTTGGGTAATTTCGGGAAAAGTTAGGGTTTGATGTGTAATTTATAAAAGGGGGTTTTCAAATGTTAAACTCTATGTGTATGTGAGACCTTGGAAAATGAGATTATTGCTGTTAAATTGATGAAATTGAACCTTAGGGTTGATAATGGAAAAAAGGAAAAAATGCCCTAATTATATTGAATAATTAATTTGAATAATTAATTTGGGGAAATGTGAAATTGGGTTGGAAATCAAGAAATTGGATGGAATTGTAATTGAACGGTGTGGTTGGATTAATTTATCACCCACTTATGAAATTGTTGATTATTTATCAGTTCGATAAATTTATTATCTGTTTAGAGATAACTGCTTTGGGTTATCGGTGGAGGATAGCCTTGATTATTATAGACATTGTATGATGATTAGGGAAAACTGAAACTAATCACATTGAATATGTCATTGAATATGACGGTTGGAATAATATAACAAATGTGTGTATTGGTTGATCATTGTATATGATAAGTGTTTAAATACATTGTGTATATATATTGTTTGGGAGGAGATAGGAGATATACTCCATGATTTGAGAGGAGATAGGGGATGGACTCTCAAATCTATTTGGGAGAAGATAGGGGATGGACTCCATTGATACAACAAATCTGTGTATCATTTGAAATATGAAAGTGTTGAAGTATGGAAGTGTTTTAATATGAGTTATATTCTCATGTGAATTGTGAAGTATGGAAGTGTTTTAATATGTGTTATAGTCTCATTGAATTGTTTGGTCAGGTTCTGAGCCATAATTATGAATCGAAACTGTATAAGTGAAGAAAACTGAAATGAAAAATGGATGTACTTGATGTTGAATTGAAAAGTGTTGTAAGTTGATTTATAAGTGTCAACCATATATCAAATGCTATTGTTTTAGTTATTTCTCATACTTGGTTTAGTATATCTCTACTAGGCATTCACTCACCCTATATGGGACATCATTTTCAGGTTCAGGTGATATGCCACCTCCAAGGACATAGTTTGGGAGGCTTAGAGACTAAAGATCCCTTTTTGTTGTTTACCTTTTTGTGTATTACACATAAATTAAAGCCGAGGGCTTAATGTGTATGAGTTATTACTCTTTTTTTTTGTAACCAAGTGTTGGCTTGGAAAGTTGTAAGCCCGTAGGGCATTTATTTTTGTTGTCAATATGTAATACTTTTGTGATAAATACTCTGATAAATAGATGTACACTTTATTCTCTTGAATATATTGTCAATTTCTTGAATCATGAATGTATGAAGTATGGGTTTATTTTGAGGGCGTTACATTTTCATTTTTATAGATCAAAAAATTTAGTCTCTAAAACTCTTACATGTTGTAGTGGTTGTTGTGCAAAATATACATATTTTTATGAAAAGTTATTTAGTGATCATGAACATGGCCATTGGCTATATCCTAAGAATGTTGTGATTGGTTTGGGGGATACGACCGATAATTTTGTATTAGGACATGAATGAACAGCATGAGGCATAGTATTTGATAATTGGTGGATAACATAATCACAAGCTACGCTAAGGGCAACTAATAATTTTACCATTTTGATGGTTTAAAATTGTGAATCCCACTTAAAGAAAATATAGGATGATTTTTAGGCAAATTTTTGGGACATCCTAACTTATTTTTTATTGACTAAAACAATAATTTTAAATACTTTTGTAATCATTTTTGAAAGACAACATAACATATATCATAAAATGAATAGTGCGAAATATTATTCTAATTGCCAAATAACTTTCTCCAAATTGAAATGGATGAACATACTCTTTAGATGAGTTTACAGTTTTAGAGCAATAAACCAATAAAAAGAAAGTAGGTATTATTTTCACACATCCTGAGAAATTCATTTCCACAATACACAGAACAAAACCATTAATTCAAATCAAGTTCCCACAAATAGCTGAATTACACTCAATAGGGTGTTATTATTTGGCTAAATTACACTGAACTACCTTGATTTTTAAAGAAAATATAATAAATGCTATGACTACCTTTTTAATTGTTTAATCTACCTTATAACTGCATCAGCTATTGCGCGGCTACGCGGTATGACCTGAAAGTGATCAAATGTGCCATGAGAAGCCAGACATGAGTAAGCAACTACCCTCCTCGTCTCAATTGTTGAGCATGATATCTTCCACTCAGGGCTGGTCTTGGGCTAAGGCCACTACGACTTGTGCCTTAGGTCTCAAAATTTGGCCCAAAAATAGGACTTCCAAATTCATTAATAGTAGTATATTCAAAATTTAAATAGGCCCAATTTGTTTTTATTGTTTAGAGCTAGTCTAAAGGGTTTCAAAAATTTTTATTGGGCCCAACTAAAAAAATCATTGGGGAAATTACCCACAGGTCCCATGTGGAACATGTAGACACCATTTAATCCCATAACTTTTTGAGTACACCCAAAAGTCCTTTACTCTCTCTCTGTTTTTTGCTTCCCTTCCTCTCTCGTTTTTTTTTCTGCATTTTTCTCTCATCGTCTTTGTCATGGACGACGACCGGTGAAACTATCCGATTTTAATGGAATAAATAATTTTAATATAATTTTTTTACCCTATGTCTTTATTATATTTTAATTGAACAAAGTTTCTAAATTTTTTTTGCCCTAATTTTGTTTCATTAAATTGTGTTCCTTAATTTCTTTACTATAAGATATCAGATAGTGAGTGGATTGTGTGTTTTGTGTGAAAAATTGATTATATAGTCAAGTTTTCTTTTCATTTATGTTTGTTTCACACTAGTGGTGAAGCAAAATTATTATCTCACTCTTCAATTTAACACAATGTAAAATAATTTATGTATGTTTTACACCGCTGAAACATTTCATTAATTAGAATTGTTGATTAATTAGTTTGTTTTGTTGATTTGAACTATACCTTTTTCGTAACTTCTTTTTTTTTTTTTTTTTGTATTTTAGAATGAATATATTTTGATATTTATTTTGGTATTAATCGGCGTAGTGGTGCCAAATAGGATAATTTTTATCTTTATTTTTGTGAATATAGGCCCCTTTTTGAGTTTCGCCTTAGGTCTCCGAAAATTCAGGGCCGGCCCACTTCCACTGCATTGGCTAGCTGCATGACACAACATTTCCACCCATACTGCACCAATTATTTCCCATCTATTTCCTCTGTTACTAAGTTGTGATGCTAGCTTACACCCATGCAGTATCACAGAATTGCTCCTCTCCAGTTTCTCCTGTGCATGCTTTTGAGGCAGCATATCAACTACTCTTCCAGGGTCTTTGTTCTTCTGTTGCTTCTGGATACTTCTGCTGGCGGCTGGCGGTGGCAGTTTCAACCACCACCACCAGCGGCTGCTTCTTCCGGCTTCTGATGCTGGCTGCTGGCTGCGGCCGCTGCCACTGGCATCGCTGTTGGATGTAGCGTCTAGATCCTTCTCGTCCTTGTCGTCGTTCTCATCCCCGTCCTCTTCCTCCTCGTCCTCATCATCATCATCATCATCCTTGCCTTCATCTTCATCTTCATCCTCGTCCTCCGAATCTCCCTCCTCAATTAACTCTCTTGGCCTGAGAAAATTGTCCCAGATGTCCCCCTCCTTGTCAAGGAAGTCCCCTAGCCCGGCATAAATGTCCCAGAACTTGATGTGTGCCATCCCAAGTGGCAACTTATAAGGATGCTCGACTAGGAGGTAAAGCATATATCGTGACAAATAATTGCCTATTTCATTAGGTTCGCCACCTTTGTAGTACATGATTTCTGTAGCAAGGTGCCAAGTAAGAATACTCTGGTCGAACTCCAATTCGACACTCCACTCAAGATCATGATCATTGTGCCTTTCTATTGTGCGGCCTCCCCTCTGCCCGTATAAAGCTTTAAGAGCTGTGTCGTAGCCATACCTTTCCGTCCATTGCCTAACACTGTCATGGATCTCTTTGAAGACTCTGCCTCTTAAATCAACTTTGCTGAGAGATATAGGAGCACTCTTGTATTGAATAGTATCTAGAAATTCTTCAATGCCTAACATTTTTTGGACGCTAAGGCAGGGGAGGGGGTTTTCTCTCAAGGCAAATTTTAGCAGACTAAACTGAGCAATGGAATTCGACCACCTCCGTTTTGGAATCGCCCAATTAGTTAGTGGTGAATGTGAAATGCACTTGATTACTCGTAAGATGGTGGTTTTCTTACGCTTAACTAACCAATAAGCGGTTTGGTCGGAAAGAATTAGTTGCAGAAATGCCCATAACTCCACGAGAAGAGCGGCTGCCAACAATACCAAAGTTATGGTACGGTCAATCTTGGAGTGGTGGCGATGTTTGCGACTAGTATTCTCTCATGCAAAGATACCATCAGCAATACAATGAGGGTCAGAAATATTCCGATGAATCGTCCAGCAATGCCCCATGAAGAGTAGACTATCTTCGCCTTTGTGTAGCGCAAATCATATATAAGCCCTAGTTCAATCTCAATTATTCTGAATGCGCTGCTCGCACCGTGGTTTTCGAAGATTGACCTGCTTGCATACCCATCTTGGAAGCCCATTACAAGATCTGCAAAGAGACGCTTGACCATCTCAAGAAACTCATGCTGCAAGTAATTCATTTCCATCAAGAAAACATTGTAGTGATGATGGAATACTATTGGTTAAATGACTCGGCACGTCAAACTCAAGAGTTTGATGTGGTCTGACATGGTACCCCTCCAATTGCTTCAATCTACATTCCTGTACAACTTTGGATTCACTAGAAGGGATATCTGGAATCGAGTCCCTAAATTTGTTGTCACTTGCCCAATATAGAACCCACACTCTTTCTCTTTCACCGTACTTGACAAGCCCAACGTAGAGCATTACAACAAAGAGTAGGGAAAATAGAGACCTTGTCCAAGCCAAAACGAAGATGTACATTGTGGTCATTGCTTGGGAAACTAGTCCAAATGAGTGCCTTTTCCACAATTCATTGTCTTCCAAGGAGTAAGCAGTAATTGCATCTGTGCCACCCAAGTGTAACAACATCATTGGAGCCCAAAAAGCTAATAGCTCATACTCTGGAACAAAAGAATCCTTCCTGTAGATTTCTCCAAGATTATTTGAGAGTATTCCAGCGGCCATTATTGCTACCGCATCGGCGAGTAAGTAGGCCGTCCAAACAATGATTCTGATCCATGCTCCGGCAATATACTTTCTACGATTGCCCAGAATGACAAAAACTATTTGGGTAGTGAGGCTAAGTAGAATCATTCCTCGGAATTCCCATTCCTTCCACAGTTTCCTCAAATTTGGAGGAATCGACTCCATCGTCCTCCTATTGTTCATTATAATCATACTGCCAACAACTGATCAAAAACTCAAAATTAGTTACTAAATGCAGAAAGAAAAAGGAAAGAAAATACGTAGTGTAGTTGAAATGTGAAAAAATTAATGGTTAATGAAGGGGATAATGATTCTTCAATATGAATCTAACAGCATGGGGATTGTTAATGTAAATTGTAAATTGTGTAAATTACCCCACCACCAACTCCACCTACCATCTCCACTACCACCCACCACCTCCACTACCATCCACTACCACCACTCACCTACCTCACCTACTCCCAAATCCTCTCCTATATAATAGCTTGTAATATACAAAATATATACAACAATCTTGTAACATATCTATCAATAATATACATTAATTTATTTTACATAACAAACGAGTTAGCAATCTTTACCTTCTGCACTAGCTAACAACATTTTGGCAAACCCATCGACGGCAAAACAAAAATATGTTTATTAACAAACTGCCTAATGTCTGAGCTAATATGGACTCATTGAGAGCACCAATAGAGATACTCTAAGGTGGGCCGGGTTTGTCTGACCTAATGAGATTGTTTGAGAGGACGAAATGTCTTCGATTCTCTCGAGGCAACAGATCAGATTGCACAAAACAAGTTTTTTTACAATTCCCCCGAGTTGGATTTTTTTTATTTATAGATAAGTTCAACTTATTTTTATACTTAGTAATTTTTAAATTTCGTTATTTTTTAATCCTATCTTAATTAGATTATCTTGATTTTTTTTTTAAATATCTAAAAATTAGCTAAAAAAAGTTAATTTTTATGCAAACTCCAAAGTTACCTAATTTTTTACTTTAATAAAGTTTTAAATTTTGTTTAGATCATCTAGTCAAGATGAATTTAAAAATGGAGTATTTTTTTTAAGGTCCCTGATATTATGATTTTACATTATAAAGGACATCAAATATTTTCATGATGTCTAAGGTCCCTCAACATCAATCCAGAGAAAATTGATCCAGAGAAAATTGGTCCAGAGAAAATTCAAGTCAGAGAAAATTGGTCCAGAGAAAATTCAAATCAGAGAAAATTGGTCTTCCAAAAATTCAAGTCAGAGAAAATTGGTCCAGAGAAAATTCAAGTCAGAGAAAATTGGTCCAGAGAAAATTCAAGTCAGAGAAAATTGGTCCAGAGAAAATTCAAGTCAGAGAAAATTGGTCCAGAGAAAATTCAAATCAGAGAAAATTGGTCAAGACGTCATTTTGAATTCGGACCAATTTTGAGCTCGAAGAATTCGAACTACGTAGCAGAACTGGTGTGTGATATACCTTCCCCACAATCATTTTGGCCAAAAGATTTTTTTTGACTTTGAAATTTATTTTCAAAATATTTTTAAAACAATTTGGCACTTTGTCATTTAGGCCAAGTTTGGATACTTTCAAAAAAGTCAAAAAGTCAAAAAGTTATTCAAAAAGTTAAAAAGTTAATACTATTCACCAAAAGTCAATAATTACGGTTGCACAACTCCCAAGCTAGATGCTTATGTGTTAAACTGTTTGAATGCCTGTGGGTGAAGGTTGGCTTGTCTGAGTT